CATATTGCGTTTGATGAAAATTAGTGATGATCTGCTACCATAAGCAGTAGCACCCCGTACCATAACTTCCACGGTGTAGTGAACGTGACGCTATCTGTCAAATTGTGGGTCACGTCTTTCACCACGTCTCCTTGTCATTCTTGCCCGGCCATCGTGCATCCATAGTGGGATTCGTTACTAAAGACCACAGCAAACGGTTACGCGGATGTTCATCTGTGAGAGGTAGCACCCAATGTGGGCGATAAGAAAAAAGGCCAAACTGCCGTGTTGGGCGATATACTGTCGGCATACCAACCATCCTTCCATGCTCTTAAAACCACTGATTAGCGATAGCTTGAGTACCATTGAACCTGTCTCTCAGAGCCAGAAGTCTTAACCGGCGGTCTTGTCGCTCTGTGGTCCCTCAAGGACGTCCAGAATTCCTCGCTCACTGAATTCGACCTTTCTGAATCCACGCTCGTCCACACTTGCAGTATATTGCGTAAAGATCTGTTGGTCCTCCTAGAAACTTTTCTCATCGATAGACCGACTTGACACAACCCGACAATTCGACCCTCCTCAAAGTCACTTAGCTGGGCGACTTCTACGCACTCTAGGCATTTTGAACAATCACAAAAAGGCTTCTCAATAAGCTGCACGAAATTCAACTTTTAACTGACACCGTAAATGTACGAAAACTGAATGCTTCTTTATCCCAAACAATGCACGCAGCCACAACAAAAACTTAACAGGACAACCTGACCATTTTATCACTTGTTGTTCATTGCAAGATAAATCGATATGTAAAATATTCTTGAATTCTAATAAACATACGTAGGTGCTTATCTTTTTTTTGACACTCGGTATATATATATCCAATTTAATATTGTGCCACAAGTTGCCTTTATATTCCAAAAACAAGTTTTTGAATTATTTAGCTGTCGTTACCAGCAGCAACTCATGTATTAAAGCTGATATACGATATGCTGACCGTTCGGCCGGCCTACTTTTGATGACATCACTCGGCTTTGTCAGGTGTTGTCTTTTCGGCGGTAACGCCCTACACGAACAGTCCAGAAATGGTGAAAGTACGGGCCTATAAATGTATATGATCCAGTAAATGGTGGATGTGCTATCATGAGTAAGCCGCAAACGAGTAAGGTACCATAAAGTTCGCTTCTTTTATGTTCCACGTATTAACTTGTCACAATAATGTATTTCGTTTATATGTTCAAACCCACGTTTTTTTTACTCTAGGTCGATGTTTTAGCCACCTATCCACGTTGATCATACGCGCAAGGCCAAATATAGTCAGTGACTTGTTCTTTTTCCATCGTTACTTAATTCCTAGATGTACTGCTGCTTGAGGTAATATAGTAGTTTGCCTCAAAATCATGTTCGGCCTCATATACAAATTTTCTACAAGGAAGTTGAATTGGTTTGTTCCTTTGAACTCTTTTCTATCGTACTACTTTAAGGTCAGGTAGATGGGTTCGGCAGAATGTTTTACCTACCCAGAAGACTTCTTCACTTCTAATACTACTACACAATGTCGTAAGTAGTATGAAAAACGAACGCTGGTATTTCGACCAACAGATAGACCGACGGAAATGGGTAAAATGGTTCTTCGTCATGTTACATCCAGACAATGTAAAATCTTATTTTATAAATTGTTCACGATTACAATACTTTCTAGCCAATTTGTATAGGAACTAAAGCAGTTTCCAGATCCTGATGCTTTAATAGGGCTTTAGCTCATTATAAATTACGTTTCATGAACAAGTAATTAGGTATTTCTTGCTTATTTTTTAGCTACAGTAAACTTTGGCAGTTTACATGGATGCTATGCTAAAAAATAATCGAACTATTTTGTAGAGAATTAAATTCTTTATCATTTTGCTTTTATGTAAATTTGAAGTATAGTCAACAGACTGCGGGAAATTTAGGGGTACTGGCACATGTATTGATAATTTGCTTATAATGGCTAAGCTGACAAGCTAACCGTATACAGACTACTATACTTGTTTGTAGAAAAAAAAGTATAATACGTACATTTCGTTTTTCGACCCTCTATGGTTCTTCAAGTACATAAGGAACAGAAGTCAAAAATTCATATCAAAACATTCCACGCTCTCAATCATTGTCCATCCGGCCGCATACGTTTTCTCCTGGGGATATCTCTATAAGCCATTATGTATGATCAAGAATACCATTTCTGGGTGAATCCATTTTTTTGCGACACATGGAAAATGTAATATTTTCGGATGTTTTATGTCTCCATCATGAAAATGCAAGTTACTCACTTCCAACAGTCTGTGTATCGACTTTTTTGTCATTGCCTGGACTCAGCAAACATTGCAGCGATCTTATTGGAAGGGAGTGGTGCTATAACCAGCATTATCTACTACATCTCCTTTTCCATTAAACTCGCTGCAAAGGTTACTCAAACTACACAGCGACAAAATCACCAATAGATAGAATCGTTCTTCGTAATGAAAACATCACAAACTATGAAAAAATATTACATGTTCCACGTGGAAGTAAAAAAATGGATCCACTCTAAAATGATATCCTTGATCAAATACAGAAATAACGCTTGTTTTTCGAATGGGTACTACATCGAGTGGGCTGGTCCCCTGTTGGTGGGGAAGGGCGTGCGGGATAGTGGGAGAAGTGCTGTTTCAGTTGGCGAGATGGTTTGGGACGTTGAGCATCGTGTGTTCACTGTACGTCGGTACTTTCAAAATGGCGAGTCTGTCGTTGAGCAACACAACATGAGTTTCGCGTTCACTTTCGTGTTCCACGTCGTGAGACACTACCAGACCGTAACACCATTTTGAGACGGGTGGAAGCATTCAACACAACAGGTAGTGTGATGAAGAAAAAACCTCCAGAGCAGAAACCGTACTGTTAGACACCCGAAAACGTTGACAGAGTGAGAGTTGACAAGCTGCAAAGCAAAAATTCCCAGGACGTCTCATTTCACGTCATGGCGATATTTCATGGCCCCCTCGCTCCCCGGACCTGTCAACGTGTGATTTTTTTTGTGGGGCTACCTGAAATCAAAAGTTTACCAAAGCAGGCCTCGGACCCTCGTCGATTTGAAGGAGGAAATAAGAAGAGAGGTAACCAAAATTCCTGCACGGATGCTTGATCCCTGCATTTCGGCTCAAGTGCGCCATATGACCGACATATTTGTTAGAACGTAAATGTTGTTTTACTCAAGAAAATGGCATGTATTTCTGAGTATTTTGATTTAATAAAATATTTTCCCACACTTACTTTGACTGTAGTACTCATTTAAAAAACATGCGTTCTTTCTGACGGGCCCATAATAATTATGAAGTTATTTTAACGTGAAATAATCATGTATGCAGACCACGTGGACCACGTCGCACGACTGTTTTGATACAAATTTTCAACTTTCCCTCCTACTACAAGAACCATCAAGGTCTAAAAAAGTTGAAGACTGTTTTGTAGCATTTTTTTTTCTACAATTCGGCTGAGCCATTATAAACATATCACTACATGTACTTTTACCCTTCGTAATATGTTGACGATACGACAAATTGATGAAGAATTTAATTGTTCACAAAAATTACATCCATTACGTTTTTACGTAGGATCGATGGTTTTCGAGATGTTCAATCATCATCATTGTGTCAATTTGAACTCGTCATTAGGAATCAGTAATCTAACGGTTTCACCGAAAAAAAAAATGTCAGAGTACCGCGGTTGAGCTTAAACAAGCTTTGTTAATCCTACTTTTGAACTGCCCAATGTTAGTAAAGCTGGAAAAAGCCTCCTCATGTAGATTGTTCCACAATCTCGATACCCTAGGTACAAAAAAGCGGTCGAATCGGCCAATTCTGGATGTATAAAGTTCGACACGGTTAGGATGGGAGGCTGAAGTCAGGAAGGTCTCTCTGGCATGAACAACACGCAGTGCGATTATGGAGAACAGCTCTGATGAGCAAAGCCCCTTTGCGTAGCGGTAGTAGAGAGATAGATCGCCGACGGTCCGCTGACGCGGAAGGAGTCCGAGACTGTCGGTTAGAAGAGAGCCATCGACTAGTCGGACAGGTTTTGTCGAGGTTAGGTCTTATCTGGGCCTTGTATAGAGTGAGGACGTCATGTAGAGAAAGTACCTCAAACAAATAGCCTAGCTTTTTCCCAGCAGCTGCCGCTATTGACGAGATGTATTCGTGTCAAATCAAGTCCTTAATGATCTGAACTCAGACCAGAAGAAATGAACAGCTCTTGGTTAGAACTTGGTCGTCCATCGAAACCAGACTCTTCTTGTTTGTCAAGCAGTTTGGAAGCATTCAATTGTACCAGATTATTGTGGCCCCAAGCAGTGATGACCTCCAGGTCTCTCGTCACAGAGATTGATGGTCTTCTTTTCTCCAGCTCATTAGCAGAGATCGGCTGGGCACTTTGAGTTCCTGCGTGTAGTGCTTTCGTCAGCAAAGCTGTGGATTGGGTTAACCGTACAGAAAAGAGGTCGTTGATATACAACAAAGTCAGAGCTAAGACCGATCACTGGGGAATGATTTCCTTATATAAAATCTCTATATTTCTTGGCCTATATAAGGTTATCTGTCGTTACTTCATCCACCTCCCCAAACTGGCATCACTTCAGTTTCGCTCCGATACCCCGGAAAGCTGAATTGAAGCGAACATCCCTAATTGACAACCCTCGCTTCATGCAACTTGTTGCTCGGTGGCTGCCGATATCGCCTGCCACTCATGATGCCGCTAGTGCCGCAACGATTTCGGCGCTGTCGCCGCAAATTAAAAATGAAAAATTGCGCTTCTATCTGACAGCCATCTAACAGGTGTCCGCTGGCGTTTATCACACAAATGGTACTAAAGTATACAGAATACGGAAAATAGCCCACTCGTGGAAACCTAAAACGTGTAGGTACCTGCGAGCGAAGCCCAAAAATAGATTTTTTGTGGCGGCAGGTTAAAGGTGGACAGGTGATATGCTGTTTCTGGAACTCACAAAGACTATGAAAATGTACCATCTTATAGATGAGGTACGATTCAAGTATGTATTATGTAAGAACCTATGGGGAGGGGGGATGGCGATCGCTTTGCATATTTTATAGTCAATTTTGATTCGAACACATAGGTATATGTGCTGGTCTATGCTCGAAACGCATCTTCTGGGATTTCTCAGATATGGATCTGCTTTCACACCTAGAACTTAGCTATAAATGGTGCTGGTAGAAGAGCGTATAAATGGCTGCCTGATAACCATTTTGGGTCACTTTGACGTTACAATAATTAATAAACATTTAGAAAAATCAAATTACGAGTTTGCCGGAAACCTATTAACAGAGCTAAGAAGTTTAACGAAAATTGATAGTTATCAAGTTACTACAAAGTATGTTGCGTCAGGCGTGCCACATCTACTTGATTCCCCAAACATGAAATGGTATTGAGAATATGTGCGTAAGTATGGGAGATGTGTGAGAGATTTGCTTACTTATGCTGACAAGGGGGACTAGGGTTAATGATTGTAAAAAATCTGGTTACGTAGTACTTGAACATCCCCTGAAGATGGACAGGTAGGGGAAGGGAGGGCAAGATGGAAGGAGTAGGCAAGATGGAAACTACCTACCAAACCCGAACGACAGCTCAGTCCGGTTCGATCACCTAACGAGTGTACACGCTTGCTTCTTATTTTCGTTGCAAAATATTACGCAGTTATTGGATTTTTATGATAGGATTATTTAAACAAGGTGAGTAATATTACTATTATGAATTTATATAAAGTATCTATGCTGAATCGGTTGTATAAATTGATATTTAAATAAGAGAAATAATAATGCATTTTCAAATTATTGATATTATTATTGGAATGGGTCATATGGACAAGATGGAAAATTGCAATTTGGGGCAAGTTGGAAGAGTTTCCATCTTGCCCGCGCACATTTTGATATTTATTTTCAATTTCTATAACTAATATTGTTGTTTTTAGATGGTGAACAAGTATATAAGGAAAAGCAATAGAGGTTCTTGGACCGGAGAAACGATGCAGATGGCGATGAATGAAGCTAAAACTACATCAATAATCTCGGCGTCAAAAAAATATGGAATTCCAATTGGAACTTTACATCGTCATATTAAAAAAGGGGACTCGCCCAAAAACCTAGGAAGGTTTAAACCTGTTTTGTCAAAAGAACTGGAGAGGGAAATATGTGATCTTGCAATGGAACGTGATATACTTTTTTATGGTTTAACAAAGCGAAGTCTACAACAACTAGCTTATGAGGTAGCGAAAGTAAATAATATTTCGCATCCTTTTGCATGTGAAAAAGCTGGAAAGGCATCGCTTAATGGTTTCATGAAAAGACATCCCCAACTGGCGTACAGGACACCAGAACCCACAGCTTTAGCTCGTTGTTCTGCTTTTAATCGCACGCAAGTGAATCGGTTCTATGATAACCTGTGGAGCATTATATCTCACCATAACTTTTTGACAAGACCCGATGACATCTATAATATGGATGAGACTGGTGTCAAGACCAGTGCTTCCAAACCTCCAAGATGTATTTCTGTAAAAGGTAAAAAACAAGTAGGAGTTGTAGCAACAGCAGAAAAAGGGCAACTTACCACAGTAATCTGTGCTTGCAGCGCAACTGGTCGATTCATCCCTCCTTGCTTTATATTTGGACAAAGAAAAAGAATGAATGAACGCCTTCTAGATGGAGCTCCTAATGGTTCTCTAGCTTGGGTTTCAGATTCTGGTTGGATAACTAACAGCACTTTTAACAACTGGCTAAAAATTTTTATTGATAAAACAAGACCAAAACAAGACAGACCAGTTTTATTGATTCTAGACAACCATTATACTCATCAAAACTTGGAAGCTTTGAAATTGAAAATCCATGGGATGTCATCAATGATCCTGTTGAGAAAAACAATACTGATGAACCACCCGCTGGCAACGATAGTGAAGACAAACAGAAAGAAGAAAAGGAACTTAATTCTGATGATAAAAAAAATGAAATGACTGAAGATAGTACGCTTGAAACTCGTTCCATTGTTTTTGATAAGAGCTGGGACCAACCATCCAAATCGCACCATATTTCTCCAATCAAAATTCTTCCATCACCAAAAGTTACTCCTACTATAAAGAAGCGGAAAGCGAGATGTCAAAGGTCAGAAGTCTTAACCAGTTCTCCATTCAAAAATGCTATTGAAATGAAAATTGAGATGAAAGCGAAACCAAAGTTATTATTTAATCGGACCATTAAAGGCAAGGAAAATCAAAACAAGGAAGTACGAACTTGCGAGAATAAAGGAAAAGGGAAAGGAAAAGGAGTAAAAACAGAAAAAGACAAACATATTGTACCAAATATAGAGCAGTCTTCACAAAATGATGTGTTCTGTATATTATGTGGGGAGCCTTATGTGGAACCGCCCACAGAGGACTGGGTACAATGTCCTGTATGTAGTGGTTGGGCACATGATTTGTGTACCGACACAGAGGATGGTAGTTTTATGTGTATAATCTGTAAAATGTAGTGATTTCCTGTACATTCCATCTTGCCCGAACAAGCTTTCCATCCTGCCCCAGGGTAAGGGTAAGATGGAATTTATAAAGTTATTTTTTAGCTACTCATAGAAAAAAATCTACTTATTATTATTAATGTTTAATGGCCTAAGTTTGTAACTGTATAAGGTCTGTTTCAAGACTGATTAAAATAAAAGTTCTATATCACGTTATTTTATTTTTTTATACATCATAAAGTTAAGCCTTCCATCTTGCCCTCCCTTCCCCTAATATGGTGTTTCTGGACCTCGCAAAACTGTACGAAAATGCACCATTTTATAGATAATAGGTGAGTGAACGAGTGCTACTAAATAAAAGGATGCAGATATTTTATGTATCTATCAGAATTTGAAAAAATGAAGGACTTCATTTTGGAATAATTTTGTCATATCTGGCCTTACTGATATTATAAAAAAAACACTATAGGTACAGTCGTCGGTAACAATGATATTGTAACAAGTAGATGCATAGCTTTTTAAAAACTTCACAAACAGGAATTTGAAGTGATAAAATTGATGCATATGCTATGTTACAACGTAAAAGTGACAGCTGAAACTTTCCAGATGACTGGTGGCCGCCATCTTGGAAATGTTTGCTTAAGCGGAAGAATTCGAATAGATTATAAAGAGCCAAGCCAATATTAACATTGCATTATTGGTCGCCAAAATTTTGTATTTGTAGTGCAGAATTTTGTCTAAGAATGGCTGCCAAAGTGACAGCGTTGTATTAACATAATCATAATACTGCTCGGTGAAAACATCCATTTTCCATTGTACCGCTGCAAATTATGTAAGAAGTGCCATGCCTAAAAATCTTCTAACACAACAATTATCTGCAGACACCCGTACTTTTAAAAAATATACTAATTTAATGACAGTACTGTCAAAACGTTGACGTATGTCCAAAGCACTTCGATCCTCGTTACACACTATGAAGATAAGGTGACACATACTTGACTAGCTCATTCTACCTAGTCTGAATTCGTTGGTTTAAATCGAATGGGGGATCATGTGATGAGTATCTTATTTTGAAGTGTGCATCGACAGCGCATCGACGTAAAGGTTGGCTCCTCAGACATGAGCGCCGACAGGGATTTTACTCAGGAGGACCGATTAGACATTGACATGTGGACACTTTTCGAATATCATGATTACGTTTCAGATGCCAGTCTTAAAAATCGGATACAAAATTGTGATGATATCATTGCGAGGGAACTTATTTGATGCCATTTTTATAACGCAGCCTGGTACAATTCATGTCGTCCGATATTAATTCGCAACTTTCAGCAAAAAAAAAGAGAATAGCATGACTTTTATTGTTGCGCGAATATCAGAACATGTCAAGGGCTGTCAATGGATAATGTCGGCTTACTACTGATTCGATAATCAACCTGACAACTGTTGGCTACCATGCTCACCCAAAGTCACGCGTTAATCACACAATTACTCTTATGTGTCGCGCTACATGAATGCTTGGCTTGCAGGTTGGCTGTTTGACAATTTCTGTTTTCCATGAATTATGTACCGAATGTTACGAGGATTGTTTCAAGAATAAGGTTACCACATTTTTTTCGGGCACAAGAAATGTTTTATTTGAAATAACTAATTCGCCAGTGGAAACGTTGATCTTTAAGCTATTTTTCTCCATAGTTCATTTTTTAGACGTGAAGCCAGTTATTTCTAAAATGTTATATGGCTTATCCATATATTACCCATGTTTGACGTCTATTAACGCAAAACGTTTGCAGATAATGCAGAATACCTGTGTACGGTTTATCGAAGGCCTGAGAAAGTTCGATCATGTATCACACTTGTATCGTAATCTTGCATGGCTAAGCGTTCAAATACTCCATTCTCAGCTTTACTCACAGGATCATACTAACATCATCCCCTCAATACCTCAGCTGTAAACTTGGTCCAAGGGCTTCTGTGCATAATCTTCAGGTTCATAACCGTGACACCTTAACTATGCTAATACACCGCACATCACTTTTTAGACGAACTCTCACATACAATGCAATTTTATATTACAATAGCTTAAGCCAGGATCTGAAGACTATCCAGTTTTCGTCGAGTTTTAAAACTCAGTTAAAAAGATATTTACAAGAATTGCAAAACAACCGCTAGCTTATGAAGTTCTTTCATTTTCATACTTTTTTTTTTATTTTTCATTAGTTATTTTTCCGTTTCTTCATAACCTATTATCTCTTCTTCTTTTTATAGCTAAATTGGCACAAATAGTCCTATTATAATGTAACCTATTATCTCTTCTTCTTTTTATAGCTAAATTGGCATAAATAGTCCTATTAAACTGTGACTTAATCTTTGCAGTTTCACTTTTTTTTTGTTTTTGTATAACTTGTTTTTTCACTTTTGTACGGGGTTAGATGGTGGAATAGCAGGTGCTAAATCTCGCCCCATGTAATGTACCATGTTTTGGTCAATAAAGACGATTATTATTATTATTATTATTATTATTATTATTATTATTATTATTGTTATTATTATTATTATTAAATTCACTTTTGAAATTCGGTAACTGCTACCTGCAACTCCTCGTTCGTCTCGAACCATTGACCGCTTAGGCGCTCCTTCAATTTCGGAAATGCTATGTCAGGGCTATAAGGACGAGAGGCAATGACTTCCCAGCCAAATCGCTCGATTAGGTCCTTCGTTTGTTGTGAGACATGAGGATGCGCTCTGTTGTGGTGCAGTCTTACCCTTTTGGTGAGTGAGTCCCTACGACGATTATGATTCGTCGATATTCGAGCAGGATTTGCTCAATCTTCGCCACAACTTCCTCAAAGATCGACGACCTCCTACTTCGAGCACTTTCTTCACCATTTTAGAGCATGCTGAATGCTTATACACGTTTCCTCATAAACTTCACTCAAGTGGCGATGAATTTCAATGGGTGGTAACATTTTTGCAAAAATCGGATGAACGCACGAATTTCACACCTGGCGGTGACGGCGATGACGAGCTGCATTCCGCATGTTGGGATCGGTGGTGGAGCAGCCTACAAACACGACGGTGTTGCCAGATTCAGCATCACGCGCGGCAAAGGTACAGTGTTGGGAGCCATATTTCTGAGGCAACCCTGGTATATACTTTTATTCATAAAGTTGCTCATAAAAGTTTGTTTTGGCTCTAAATATAGTAAGTCATAATATGTGACAAATATAATGACTTTGGAACACGATTTAAAAAAACAGATGTGGAGAAAATTTCGCTACTAAAATACAGCTACAGCTTATAAATTCTGTTGTATTCATCTGATGCGCAATGTGGTATCATGCAAAATTCGTTTCCATCTACAAAGCGGGTTCCAAACTATTGTTTACGTATGATATGATCAAAAACTCTATTATTTACACATACGTTGAAAATGATTCGTATTTCACATCGTTTGGTCCACATACGAACACTGAATTTTGTATAAATACTTCCTGAACGCTTACATAGCCTCGTACTGCGGTATTTTCGGATTTCGCATAGTATATTATGTTTACAGTAATCGATATGTGCTCTATCCTACGTTACTTGGTGGTGAGTGATGATGTTATAGTTGGAGAGCAGAATTGGTAACCCAGAACCTACACACAGACAAATTCTCCAGTAAATTTTTATCTTCCGATATATAAGCGATTGGCTACGGTAGCTCACGCGGTCCGCCATTTACAGCGTCAAACGGCGGTACATAGACGCGTGCTTCCTACAGGTACAGACTATGTAATGCATATTATGATTTATATTATAACGATGGTAGTTTTAATAAAAATGACGGGGTTCTGATTTACGTAAGACAAAATTTGAACAGTGGGTATGGAATTATTAATATAACTCAAACAAAACTTTTACGAGTTATTCTTCAAAAGAATAATAAATGGATACAGATCATTGGTGTGTACAAATCACCCTGTATATCTGTAACAACATTTAACGGTCAATTACATGATTATCTAGAGAGCAGTAGAAAATTTGACATCAACTTATTCATTGGAGACCTTAACATTAACATATTAGATCATAACAATCAAAATATTCAAGATTATTTAAATATAATGGATAAACATGGTTACCTGTCAAACATTAACGAAATGACACGAGTAGAGGGAAACAGTGGGAGCTGTATAGATCATATGTTTATAAATTCACGTTTAGAACTTGACAAAATATATTCAGCAATTCTAAAACACAAAATTTCTGATCATTTTCCTACTTTGCTTAAAATCGATCTTGAAAGTACATCAACCAAAATTGAAAAGACAGTGAATACGACGAATCCTATACATACCTATACATACTTTGTAATGTCTCTTGGGATAATAAAAGAATTTGAATTTGAATTTGAATAATACAAAAATTTGCACTGATTATGAAAAACTAAATAACAAATTACTCAATGAAAATTGGATTGTAGTATACAACGAACCTAATATTGAAAATGCATTTGTCCTTTTTATATCTAGCATTGAAAGCCATATTGCTGAATACACCAAAACAGTAACGATTCCACGAACACAAATAAAAAAACAAGCATGGATATCAAAAGGGATTATTACCTCCATCAACAAAAAAATAGAATTATATAAGGAAACCAAAAAATATCCTTATGATGTTAAACTTTTGAATGAATTTAAATCATATCGAAACAGACTGACAAAAATAATTAAAGAGGCTAAAATTAAATATCTCCAAGAAGAGTTTGATAATCTACAAAATTGTTCGTCCAAAATGTGTCAATTTATCAATAAAATACAAGGCAAAAAACAAAACAACAAAATTAGTACAATTAAAAAATAAAATGGTGAACTAGTGAGTAATCATGTAGATATAGCAAATGAATTTTGTGAATATTTTTCAAAAATCGGGAAAAGGTTGTCAGAAAAAACGCGGAGAAATTAAATTATAGTAAGACCAGATTATATAACTCATTATATCTGGAACCGACCGATACGCATGAAATAAAG